TGTTGTTTGGGATCATTGGCACTAACTGGTCGTTTAGAGAAGATTAATATCGATAGAACGGGTCGTTGGCTTGCTGAGAGACAATGCCCATCAGGTGGATTGAACGGTATGGATCGGCTTTTAACGTTTCATATTCACATAATTTCTGTGCCTATTATTTTCTTGAGCACATTTCGTCTCATTTTGGACTTGTAACTTCTATCTCAATAATAAAATGAAGGGATCTTGATTTCCAGTTCGGGTTCATGGGATTGGTAATGATAAGAATTTTCTGAATTTCTTGAATTGTTTACTCGAAAAATTTGTCTAATTTATGCGGGGGATGAAATTTCAATATGAAGGCATTGATTGCTTGGTTACTTTATCAAGATCGAGAGCTGTTGAGGTTGGTTGATTGATGATGACAACATAATAGGTTTAAAACAAAGTATGCAAACAAAAATGAGTGTAATTAAATTATCGATGAATGAATCAGCGTTGATTACAGTACGATTACCTGTTCATAATTGGATGTATATGCGTAATGCAAAAGTATTGTTGTGCTGAGGGAATTATTCTTTTTTGTGTTCTTATTGCGCAATTAAACCCTTGGAGATGGGCTCAACTGGGACGTGTTGAGTTCATCTCATTTACACTCATTATTACGTTTACATTAGCACTTCTTTCTTAATGAATACCTCAATTACGTTGACGGTCATAAAACTATTGCGTTATCCTATCGAACGAGTATTGTGGTGATTATTTTAGCTGTGTGAAGCCAAATCAAATCATTTTATTCAATCTTGCATTCAAAACCTTTGAGAAACATTTTTAAGAAATGAAAAAATCCTACATTTCCTTTATCTTTTCAATAATAATCCCTTCATTAGGATGTGCACTTCAAGGTTTTGGAGCAAAATTTTTGATAAACATTTCGCGATCATATTTTCTAAAATCGCTTTTACCATTTGTATACATTATTATCGTTTAAAATGGTCGCACCGAATGCCCTCCAATTTTTTGAATTGAAGTGAAGTGAAAAAGTGAATTGTTCGCGTTATACGGTGGTGTATTGGTAAATAAGGATTGAATAGAAACATAATTCTAGTCGAAGAAATTAATAGAGGAAGGGTTGAAACATGTTGAATGAATAACAGCATAAGTAATTGATGAACTCTGATTGGTGATTTATGTGCGCGATGAGATATGGTATGGTTAGCAGATATTGAACGCAGATATGAAAACGAATGGTATAGTAATTATTATTATCATTATCAGATTCATCATCACCAACACAGAAACAACAGTAGCAGAAAGTGGCGTGCGTTCATTGCACATCATAAATTAGAGTTGATGATGTTCCATATTCTTTTAGTAAGAAGATTGTGTGGAACGTGAAGAAGTGATTGATGATGACAGCAACAATTTCACATTTTCATGCATCATTTAGCATATTCTCATCTCGTTTTTTGACTGCCACTGAAATTCATTGTGACATTTTTAATGATGCAATTTGATTTGCATTTCGCAGTTACCCATTTATGATGTCAGTTCGCATTCCAAACAGACATTTTGGAAGCGTTCTCAAAAATTTTTTGTCCATATTAATGGCAGTTAGATTTGAACGTTTCTTTCATCAATGAACTATTAAGATTTGAATTTTCGCTTTTGACTGCGACAAAAAATGTGGTATTGTTGGGATTTTTAGAAGTTGTTGTGAATGCGTTTAGAATGACGGACATGATGTGATCTCTTGATGCGTTTTCATTACAGATAAAAGTTTCTTTTTTTGCATAAGACGATTGTTTTTGAACTGATGCGNCATTGACAAAACTGTACGAATGGACTGTTTTAAGGTCGACCAGAGAAGTTACCAGATGTTTGCTATTCGTGGTGGGTTGTTGCATCATTGGCCATCATTCAACGTATTCATTGGATTGATCGAGTATTCTTTCGCTTTGAATCTTTTTTGAATTCATTTGGAACTGTATGTGAGGAACATTACGAATCGAATAAAGTTGCCTGATTTTTTGCAGTTCCTTTCTTTTTCATAAATTCATCGATTACTTCTGATTTGTGAGTTAGAAATACTCTTCATTATTTATTTTAAAGGATCTCTTGAGAAAATTCATATTGGCGTGTCAAGATGAGGATGGTGGATTTGCAGATCGACCTGGCGATATGGTTTGTCTTTTGCTTATTCATCATCCAATCACAGTCTGTATCACGTACTTCTGTAGGATAGATAAGAGACTTCCATCGTACTTGAATCTACCAGTGCGATATATAATCAGTTAAATGAATTACAGTCGGGAGGTTTTAGGGTTGTTGAGTAATTTTTATAGTTCTCTTCATATCTAGCCATGAAGCAAGCCAATCTATTTTACCGACATCAGTTCAAACATTCAGATGTTTTGATGTAATTTTGTCAAATGTTTGTTGCAGCCAGATCCGTTTCATACGTTATTTGGTTTGGCTGGACTGAGTCTACTCGGTAATGAACGATCACTAGCACCCGTAGATGCTGTTTTATGTATGACAAAGCGATCGTTGTCAAAATTATCAATCTATTAGTTCCATATGTCCACAGTCCATTTATGATCCATCACTTCATATGTACTTTGACAGTTTGATAATTCTTTATAAGAACATAATTAATTCATGGTTACTTTCAGTTTATAATCATCATTTCATTGTGATATTTTATTCCTCATTTGATAAATGTTATGTTCTGTTCGTGTTATTTAATTTGTTTCGCAATTCATTCGTTATCAACTATCTTACAAATCAGTTCTGGAGGAACACAATCATTCAATGAATCTTTTGCACTGTTATCATGAAATTTTGCATTCAGTCGATTACCCGTCCGTCGATATGTTATTTATTCCACTTCATAGCGAAATCCCATGAATATTCTGTGTGTAAATACTGCATTGTTTCATTCATTATATCTCTGAATTCTCCCGAAGGGTAATCATTAGATTCGCTATTCAGTTCGATGTGATCATGAATCATGAGATTTCTTAATTGATGTTTTTTGGCTTGATTGTAGATTAACGATGATAACGACACATTGCGATCGAATTGCTGAGGGTGTTGCAATTGAAGATATTTGCTAAAAGTGTTTTGTTCGATACAATTATGCTAGATTTAATCTGAAATCGTTGAATGTAGTCACAATCGTTCACTGTGAATTACAGTGATAAATTATGCACTCAGTGACATCAAATCACTTATATCTCATGTTTGCCACGCGACTCACTGCATTTGATACGCACCCATTCATCAAATGTTGCCACGTTACTCTACTTTTTCGTATTCTTGCGCGAATTGTCCCCATTCAAAGTTTTCACTGATCCTTCATCGATACGGTATGACTTACAAATCATACAGTATGCCAGCATAATGAATGAATTTGAGTCGGTGATAATAATACGATTGCGAGCTCATTGATAAAAATAAATGGTTTTAGTCCGTTACAAAATGTGGAATGCGGTACATGATGTTTCGCTACTTAATTACCCTTTTTTGACTCAATGCAACGGCATAACAATTTCTGCTGGAAAGCATTAACCATTGTAATTCTCATTCCACTGTGCTTAGATTTTCCTTAATTACTACCTACACCAGTATCATATGGACGGCGTAACATCTGGACTATTCTGAATTACGAATCTATGAGAATGCTTTCATTTCGGGTATTTTGTTTGTCTTTTAATCTCTTGCGAACGAATAACTGATCTCTGTAAAGTATTTTGAGGGAAATCGTTTNTTTTGAGGGAAATCGTTTCTTTTTCAAAATTTTCTAAAATAACATACGAGCAATCTTGGGGTGAACGATTTACTTTGACCTTTCGGCTCTGGAACCGATCTAAATTTGAATGATTTTTCATTTCTCTTCAGCAATTTCATTTGTGCTTATTACCTCAAGTCACAATTTGTGTATTGAAAGCTGCCATCAATCAATGACTGCTGAATAAATACAAAAGCATGAAAGTAATCTGACATAACATCTGTATTCATGTCTTCTAAAGACTAACCGCCAATGTGATCACTCGAAGTGAATGTTGCGGCAGTGGCATGATGATGTTTATAGCAGTTATTACAACACTTATTACATCTGTTTATGCATCATTAACTAGTCAGTAAAGGTCATTTCAACGAATAAAATAATTCTTCTTCATCTCAATATCACTTCACATCTTTACATCGCAACTCTGTTGCATTCAACACGAATTCGATTTGAATGTTGCCATTAAGTACTGCAAATTTTGCACCTCTATGGAAGCAGAGTTCAATTGCTTGGAGCAAATGTTTCAATTTTTGTGCAGCTATACGAAGAAGAATAATGCTAATTGTGAGCAATAATATTCCATTGCTTTCCCNAATTCGATTAAAAACTTGCTGAAATTCCCAATCGAATAAACATACTCAGAGCAGATTAACTTCGCAGAAACCTAGTAATTGGCATCGGTAAGGGACTTAATCTCAAACATTGAATTTAGTTAGTACGTCTGATATCACACATTTTCATGGATTTTTAGCCAAAATTCTTTCATTCAGGATAATTAAAAAATTATTTAAAGGCATCGTTGCATCAGGAAGAGCATTCAACCGATTCGATTTGCGTCTCAAACCTTACTTCGTTGAGGAGTCATGCGTGCACTCAGTCCCTTATCTATCTCAGCCATCTTATCAACACTTGCCTCAGTTCAGCTACCGTACCCTACCTCATTTCATTAGAAAGGCGTGACCAAAAACGCTTAACTCCGCCCGTTTTCTTAAGATATTCATCGCAAAAATGAGGCAATCTGGAGGATGAGCGCACCAAAACAATAGTCGTATTGAGAGGAATGATGGCAACGAGTTGGCATATCACTCAAATGCCTCAACAGATGTCGATCAGTCCCAGCAGCACCCCATCACCCAACTATGGTTTCATGCCAGCACGATACAGTAATCAGTACGATAATTATGCGACTTTCACTCATCAAAATTGTTTTGTGTTAAGGTTTGTTTCGAATTCATTATCTCTTGCAATTAGTCACTTCAAGAAATTGAACAATTTTGCAATTTTTATCTCAAAAATCAATTGCTGAGACGATTCAATATTTTCGATCATATATATCCGCTCGTTTCAATGGTCAATCTTTCATCTGTCATTCAGATGTTTCACTGTATTTCTAATCTGATGTGTTTGGTGAAATGATTTGCGATAAACTAAAATCGCATCCAAGCTATCTTGATGCTCATTATGATTTGCATTTTGTTTGAATATCAATAATTTTGTTAAGTAATTGATTGATAGCATTACTGTTGGACGATCTGATATTTTAACGCTCTCCAAGAGGTCTCAAATGCGAATCTTGTTTTGAGAATTTCGGAAACACCATTCTGAAAAATATTTCTCCATTAACATTCCTCAGACTTCAACGATGATCTCAAATTAAAACACACGGTTGACCGTAGATTTTTGGTCTTTTAAACCTGCATCAAACTTCTCTAAGACTGCATAATACAGACTGCTTCAAAGTGCTGGAACAAATTGTGTCAACAAGTCTTTCTTATCGCAGCAGATCATGCAAAAGTGTCTCGTTCTAAATATGCTCAACTCATTAATAATTCATTTTCATATTCTCTTATCATCACAAACGTGTCTTCTGCTAATTAGAAGTAAAAATATCTTTATCGAGAAGAATTTATCCATGTCACATCTCCTCCAAATTTTCACTCATTCGTCCAGTCGCAACCCGCTTGCCACTTAACATTGTTTGTGATTCTGCGATTTTTTGCCTCAACAAAAGTATTGTAAATCACAGAAGTCTCCACCGGTGCTTCTCAATGTAGTTGCGATAAGCCTAAACAGAGCAATCGACAGTTCGTTATTTAGGAGTGCATTTTCTTGACAGTATCAAATTTCCACCTCATAAACGGTTACTGATTGTGAGGAAATAATAGCGTTCGGATGTGGCACTGTATTTTTTCAATTTGATTAGAAATTTACGCACACCTCGAATAGACGCAAACAATTTCTTTCAAGAGAATTTGCATGTTTAACTTTAAAGAAAGGATTATAAAGATGTGAGTCTACTGATCGCTAATTGAATGAGTATTGGCTGAACCATAAAAACTATGATGGATCGTTGTCGGATTTTAGGTGTTTCACTGGAAACTGATTCCACTTCTGTAAAATTGATTACGATTTCATTCCTAGAGTGACAGTTTCACTTAGATGCCATATGTTGCCAAGGAATTTGGTACAAAATAGAGTAACCTTTTGTCAAATCATGAAATTGAGTGGGAAATGAAACCATAGAAGGTGAGCTGGAAGGACAGCTTTTGACTTATGCATCACATTATTTATCACACGCGAACAAGGATGGCGATGCTTTTAAGGAATAGATAACGATTTAATATGTTCAGAATGAATAATCCCATATGAACAAATCTATTACTCTGTTTATCTGTACGACAATGCAAAATATCACGCCGTCAGCCTAGCGATCTCACTAATTGATCTGAATGGCATTTAATCACTTAAAATCGGAAAATTGTTCTAGAAGATCCATAGGATAACCAAACTGCTCTAAGGAAATTTTATTGTAGGCTTCAAATTAAACTTAACAGTNAGAATTATTCCTCAAGCTGAGGTTAATTTTACTCGGAACAAAATAATTTAGCGATTAGATTGAATTCGATTAGTCGGGAACATGAAGGGCCTTATAGGTTCAGATTGAGTTTGCACATTCGCAAGCTGGATCGAAACAAATGAGAGACGAATGTGAATGAATTATTGTTCATGATATGATCATTCGAGGTCAATTCTTTGTTCTCTATTTGCCGAATGTAAAACAACTAGTGACCTCAAGCCGTTTCTGATAAACAGGTGGATGACTCAGATAGAATCGTGGATTGAATTCGTTCCAATATTGCGACTTCAAATCAGTTTTCTCAAGTAGTCTTTTTGAAAACACGCGATGATATCAAAATATTTTGGTTCTCGATACAGCTAATGCAGCTGCATCGAGAACCAAAACTAACGGAACTCTTAGTGAAGCAATCCTGCATTTATGGTGGATGCATCGTGAGGAAAGTATTATAGCGTGGTCTTTAGAGTAATTGAATTCACGCAGAACATCGTCGGATAGAACAGCAAAACCGATTATCTGAAAATTTTGAATGACCAGAATTCTGATATTGAGTGGGTTTTGTTGATATGATATTGATGTGAATCGTAAAATGAGATGCATTTCAGTTGCGAACAGTACTCCCCGAAATGAACAGTGGAAGACGATTATCAAAGTTTGAGACATTGCAAATGGCACAGCAATACATCGACTGTCTCGCTGAAATACTCGATAAGCCAAAGTGCAAACCGTTGTGAACAATGAATATTCTATTATTATTATTTGTATTTTGTAAATAAAATTTATTGATGCATCTTCAAAATCGGTGGGTTGTAATGCGATTACATTTCAACAAAATGAAAATACGAAGTGCAAAATTATTGACGGTTTCAGATAAATTTTGGAGTTCTTATTGTTAAGATCATCAGAAATAGTGGATCCACTGGC